TTCCCCTGGCCCTCTCCTCAGCACAAACTGGAGCACCAAAATATACATTGGCTAGATAATTTGCACGGAGCATCCAGACTGACGCTTCTCTCTCTCAGCCTGTGGCTTTGGACAGCTGTTAATACCAGGCATAAGAGGCAAAGCTAGCCCAGCTTCATGTGTCGCTCTGGGACAACCTGGATGGAGCTCCCGGTTTTTGCGGCTTCCCTGTCCTTCCTGGGGCCCCTTTATTTTCCGCAAAGAGCCTCCAGAAATAGCAGTTCACCTCCTACCTCGGGCACAGCCCCTCGGTGCTAAAGTGAAAAAGGTCTTCCAGCGGCTTCTACTGCCATCTTTGGGGTTTTTTGCCAGCCTCTATGAGCCCTGGAGGGCGAGAAAACCCCCCTTGAGCCCTCAAAGTCCCCTCTAAAGAAGAATATCGGTGTTCTCTCTCGCCTCCACCACCATGGCATAAACCACAACCGGCGCGCCAGCACTAACCCAAAAGGCCCCTTTGTTTCTGCCTAGGCTGTTCCCCCCCGGTGATGCCAACCCAGAGCCTCTGCAGGTGGAAGGATCTTTTTAAGAACCCATCTGTTTTCTTGCCGGCCTTCTTCGGATCGAGGGCTGCCAGGTGTTCAGAGGCAAGACGGAGCTCAAGGTAGTACATCATCTATACTGTAGTGTCTCATTCCAACTTACAGTATACGATGATATCCCGCCTGGGGCTGTAGCCGTTTTGGGCCAGTCCTGCAGACCGTTCTGTGGGGGAAAGACCTGGGAAATAAAAGCAGAGAAAGGAAATATTAGGCAGATTACGAAGCTACTAGACACACTTCCAATAGAAAAGTTTCTTTTTTAAAAAAGAGGCGTGGACATTGAGCCGCCTTGGGTCCTTTCAAGGAGAAAGGCGGGGGTGTGTGTGTGTGCAAATATTTTAAATGCAATGCATTTTAAAGCAAATCAATCAAACTAGACAAATATCGTGTTTGAGCTTTTAATATTTTGCTGCGAGGGCCGCTTGGTGGAAATGCAAGAAGGCTCTAGAAATCTAGAGTCCCTTTTTGCAAACCCTGTAAAATAAGCCAGGGACCAGGGCTCAGCCATCCGCCGCCCTCTTTCCAGAGTTGCTCCCTGTCTTAAGAGCCTGCAAACCCTGCGGCCGGGGGGGGGGGGCAGACGGGTGCCTGTCAAAAAGGGGGTACAGAGCAGGGAGCAAGAGGTCTTGAGCCGGAGAGAAGGAGGGAAAGAAACACCAGCCCATCACAGACAGCCTCCCCCCCCCCGGATCCCTTGTCATGCCCCAAGATGTGTGGGAGCTGTTTCTGGAGAAGCAGCAACCGCCGACCCACCCAGCCTGTGGGTAGGTGCCCCGTGGCAGGCAGTGGCTCTGGATCCTGCCCCATCCCTGCCCGCATGCACTTACCCTCTTGGGCTTCAGCCGGGAAAGCTCAGGCCCTCCCGAGGGAACCCTTTATATATCCACGACTTCATTTGCATCTCTATCTCTGTCACCTCCACCTCCCTCTTTCACCCTCCCCGCCCTGAAGCTTGGCGCCCCTCCAGGACCCAGCCCCTC